AAACACAAAAGCGGTAAAAAGATAAATTGTTATTTTTTCTTGACTTTAGGAAAACTTGGCCTCTAGAAATAAGTCCCGGAAATATGTTTTGCAAGGTTTCAATGTTCTTACTATTTTAAGGCTGTGTATTTCGAACAGATTCAATGCTTAGTGGTGTTAATGATCTCAAATATTTTAAAGCTGGTTGTTCCAATAGTGTATGTGCTTCTTATATGTCTTCTCATGTGAACTCATTATATTCAGTGACGGGTGTAGGATATAATAAGAAAATTTTCCAAGTCACAGGGCACTCAACCCTCTAGTTCGTTTTCAAGTGTACCTCATGTTCTGCATCGAGATCAAATTGTGGAACGTACAGGCAGCGTAACAGTCAATAATATCTCGAATAATTCAATGTTGTATTACCAATTATAATCTAAACTTAAAACTTAAATCTTAACAATTCGAGTTTTAGCTTAGTAAATAACAATGTTGTTTTAGAAAATTACGAGTATAATGATGAAGTTTTGATAATATTGGTGACAATTCCTTGTGTGCTATGCCTCCGAAAAAATCATTTTTCTTTCTAGATTAAATCCTCAAAAGTGTATATTAATATGTACAATATTTATCATAAGAAATTCAAACACTAATTACGTTAGTTTCTTTGTTTATTTGACAAATTCCATTTGAAATGTGTTCAAAATTTATCAAATGATCGCTAGCGCTTGCTCTTAGTATTAACGGATTTATATTAGTGTTAAAAGCTGAAAAAGTTTTGTGTTGTAAATTATATTTAAGCGCAATTGTAACTGATGGCAACGTTTTTAAAAAACGCTTTCGACCTAATGGTTCTATTTTATATAGTGATTAAAATTGTTTTGCTTAATTAAGTTAATTGATTGTGAATTTCTTTACGTTTATCGAAATGCAAAAATAACATCATTTTAAAAATTGTATTTTTATAAACATTTTTGTTGCATAAAATATATTATTTTATTTTTCTCAAATGGCGGAAAGGAAGTTAAAATTAGTTTTTTAAAATTAATTTTAAAATTGATAACGCAATAATTTTAACTTTTATAAAATTGAAAAAGATTTTTTTATGATCATAATAAATTAAAAAGGTAATATATAAATTTAATAGTATTACGCAAAAATTATTGAAATTATTTAAATTATTTTAAAAGCAATCAAAAAATCAAAAGTGCTTCATAATAAAATTAAAATTTTTGCTTTATTTTTATGATCATTATCTACGTTCTCACTTTCGGACGTTACGAATTCATGTAAAATACTTCATGTAAATACTTGTACAATACTTAATTTTTTGTAAAATGTACGAAATAATTACTTTTACTACATATTGATTTTTATTAGCACTTTTTTAAAAAAATTTTGAAAAAGTGCTATCAGTTTTGCTCCGTCCGTCCGTCCATCCGTCCTTTCGTCCGTCTGTCCATTCGCCCGTCCGTCCGTTCGTCCGTTCGTTCGTTAGAAGAAAATTTTTTTCCATCTCCACTTTCCATCTTTCCATTCCTTTCAATAAAAGTCTGTGAAACCGTACGAGTGCATAAGGTAACTGTCATATACATATATGTATAAAAAACTACTATACACATAAAAAACTAGGAATATCACACGGGTATCACAGAGTTGACAAGCGCAACTCTATCTATTCTAGTTTTCTCAATATTTTTGCGGTTTACGTATGTAAAAGAATTTTCAATTTAAACATTGTTTTTAATAAATGTCATTATATGTATGTGTAAAGATGTTGCCACCAAGCAGAAATTATTTTTCAAAGTATTCCAAAGCAATAAAATTTACAAAAACAATGCTTAATTTTTTATATTTCGAAGAACCCTGATTGAAATATTTTTGTTTTGTAACAATATAAAACAAAATAAATATTAATATTTTATATTAATATATTAATATTATATTAATATTATACAGGGTGTTTCGCATAATGTAGCAAATAATTTCAGGCAAATGATTCTTTGATCAATTATCAGCAAAAATTTGTCTGGGTATGGGACTTAGAGGGTGTAACCGTGACTACATGTACCACAGAAATATTGGCGCGATCTTGTGTTGAAATCGGCAAAAAAATTATAGGAAGCAAGTAACAGTATAAGAAAGCGGACAAATAAACGGAAAATAAAGCTAAATAAAAGTAAATCTGTACATGTGAATTTAACAAACAATTAGTTTAGTAAACCCACCACAATTGGATTTGAATAATGCTAAAGCATCAATTCTAGAATGTTAAGCTCAGATGAAAAGAACATTTAAAGAAGAAAGGAATAGAATTAGAAAACAAATATAGAGAAAACTATATGGTTGCGTTAAGCAAACAAATTAAACAAATACAAATTTTGCAGAACAAGTTCCTTCGTAATATGGTGGGTTCTCCCTGGTATATCTGCAAACTTGTGACTTTTATAGGGATCTGATGGTCCTCCAAGTAAATGCAGAAATAAGGAACTGTGCCTTGAGGTATACCGAATGATATCTCCCGTTTTAGCACAAAAAAATATTCCTTCACGCAAATAATTTCCAAAAACCCTTGCGATTTTTAAAATTTGGAAATTATTTTTTATTTACTCTTAGAGTTAAGTGATCTGATAGATGTATTCGTATTCCGTTGTTTATTTGTACGTATTCGTATTACGTTGTTTCATTTTTCTTTTTTTGTTATCCTTTTTACAATTTTTTAAACTTTAATTTTAACAAGTAAAAATGTTTTGAAAACCGATTGAATTATACTCTGCACCTTTCATTGTTGTATAAACAAATTTATATAACGATTTTCATGAATCTCACTTTATTATTTCTTCAAATATTTAAAATTGGCTTTTGGAGTTGTGTGGCAGGTACCCGAAGCCATCAAGCAATTCCACGAAAACTTCAGAAATTTATCTGATCTATAATTGGGCATGCGACTGTCAAGTTTCATGAATCTAACTTCATTATTTTTCCGAATATAAACAATTAGTTTTTGAAGTTGTATGGCAGCCACCCTAACCGGTGCTACTGTCCCATTTTTAGAGCGTGTGTAGAATGTAATTGGACATACATATACAGAATTTCGTATTTATGCTTTTATTAGTTTTTGAAATATTTAAAATAAACTCTTTCAGTTGAATGCCAGCTACCCGAAACCGTTGTCCGAATTTGTGCAATTAAAATAGCAGCTGCCGTTGGCACAAAAGAAACAACTTGTTTGGCGAAAGTTTGGTGTTGATTGCATTATTCGTTTTTGAGTTATCGTGCGACGGACATGACTAAAATTAGTATAATTTAGTATAATCTTCTTTATTAATATAAGTCCAAGTTAGATCGCCAACACTTGCAGAAGAAATAACGTACAAAAAGAAAACGACAAAAATAACATGCAGAAAAAGAAAAAAACAAAACAGAAAAAAATATTCTCAATTCTGTACATATTAATTATTAATATATTGTATTCGTATATTTTCATTAAGTTCGTTTTATTTTCATATTTATTTTATTATTCTCATAAGTGCAAATTTTGATTGCATTTGAATATAGTATAATTCAATGTTTTTATTGTTATAATTTAATATTGTTATTGTTATAATTTAATATCGAAGTATTGTTATTGATCATGTAGTTTTATTTTTTCTGCAAACTAAATTAAATCAGCAAAGAAATTAGTGCACGAATCATGAAATGAACACTTAAAGAACAAAGTAAAATATTTGTTTAGGAATTAAATCGCCGAAATGTTTCTGCGTTAGTCATATACACTTACTTATATTGTTAGAACAGAAAAAATATTTACATATATATGAATGTTTAATTTTTTTGGAAAGACCAGGGTTCGGAAACTGATCTGGGGACCGATTTTACATTTTTTACCATATCTACGGAACGAATTAATGCAATTTCTTGAAACTAATCACTTATAAAATAAATATACTTTACATAAATGTACTTGAATTAGAAAACTGAATGAAATAAATTCTGCTTAAGTGGGTGGCGAGATGAAATAAATTCTTTTAAGCGGGTGGCTTATAGGGGTTTGACTATAATTTCATTATTCCATATATACTCGTAGCAATATTGAACGAATTTGTAAAATTCATAATAGCTATGCTTACTTACAAATGATTTAAATTAATTTTTTCTTTTATTATATTTCTAATTTTTTTTTTTAACTTTAATGCGGAAAAGTAATTGTGCTAAAAATATCCGTTCACCTAATTTCATTAATTTCCTCTTTACTGAGTTCTTTTCTTCTAAGTGTGTTATTTACAATATGTCATTGCTTGTTTGGTGGAATAGCATATCTAAGTGTTACAATATGGAAAGTTCAAGATTTCAAACGAAACCGAGTGGGGCAGGAGCAACCCTTGAACCTTGAATTTAAATGTTAGTTTTTTAAACACATTTAAAATAAATTTATTTAATTTTTCAATTTATTATTCAAATTTGTGCTATGAATTTATATGAATACATTATACTTATAAATTAAATCTATTATTTAGTAATAATTTTTTAAAATATGTAATTTATTTTTTTATTTTTCCTACTTAAGTATATTTGAAATATCAGCGAGATTTTTCGAGACTAATTCATTAGTAATTACTTGTAGCTTTTTTTAATTTTGCACATAAATTCGAAGTTAAATTAGATACATTGATCTTTTTGCAAAATACAAATCAACATTTACAAAACACTTCTAAAATAATAGGCATCAAAAAGTTATATGTCGTTCGTAAAATCCTAATATAAGATTAATCTCTTAAAAGTATTGTATTTCAAATTTAGCATTTCAAAATCATTATATTTTAAAATTAGAAAATTATTTTAATTTTAAAATAAATTCAGATGTTTTTACATTTTTGAATGAACATATTCTGTCCTTTTCAAGAAATTACGAGTTTCAATTATATTATGCAAATCTCGAATTTAATTTCCTGAGTCAGATGTTGACACAAAAATAATTACATTAACCAATACATATTCGATCTTTCATTTTCTCTTTCCAGACAAATCATCTAAATGATTCACATGCCCAATTAATGGTGCATTGGCTTGGAGATGGTTCAGATGTTATGATATGTTTAGCAAGAGATCCACCCCCTGGTCCAAATGAAAACACAAAGCTCAAAGAAGATGCATCACCATCATCTGTTTATATATCATATGATTATGGTGATACGTTTGAAAATAAAACACATCTATTCACCGTGCCGGGGGAAAATGGCACCGAAAAAAATTCTACATTAGATCAATTTTTAACGCATCCAAAATATGATACGATAATATTTATAGATTCACGTAATAAAGTGATATTTAATGTACCAGAGAAAGGTGATAACGTAACACGATATCTAGTTGATTTTACCCCATCTGATATAAGCTTTTACGAAAGTGATCCAAAGACATTTTTAGCATTAGATAAAGAAGATCCAGATAGAAAATTATATTACACAACTGACTGTGGAAAGACATTCACAATGTTAGAAATGTATGTGAAATCATTTTCATGGTCATCTGGTGATTATATGCCAGCACATTTATATGTCGAAAGAAAAGAACCAATAACAAGTAAGAATATCCAATATTATTTTAATTACTTTACTGAAAAGTAAACTAAATACACATGTATTATAAAATTCTCTAACATATTTTAGATACTTCTTCAGTACGTTGGATAAATGCTGCAGATTTATTAAAACCAAATATTAATAAGTCTTTTAATGTATTGATTGAAAACGTTCAAGATTTTCACATCAAAAAAGATTTTATGTTTGCTATGCGAAAAGTTTTGAATACTACTGAACTTCATATTTCATACAAAAGAGGAAAATTTGTTAAAGCGATATTTCAAACTGAATTAGATATTAAAGCAATGCATATTGCTGATGTTGAAGGACGTCGTATAATGATATCTGCAGCTCATTCTGAATATATATCGCATTTATACGTATCAGAAAGTAATAATGATATGACGGATATTAAATTTGTGCCTAGTTTAGAAAATATATTCACTTATATACCAGATGTTATGTGGAAACAAGGATGGTTATCGTAAGTATCTTCATTACGAATAAGTAAAAAATTAACATTTTTGTTATTGTAGTCAAACTACTGATGAAACTTTTACCGATTTATACAAAGTTGAAGGAATTCGTGGTATTTATATTGCGTCTAAAGTGCATAAATCACAATTGGTATCATTTCTACAGCAATTATCTCGATATGCATATTTCGAATCAGTTGGACCAGCAAATCTAGTATCATTAATTAGTTTTGATCATGGTGCATCTTGGAAACGTATAGAAGCACCAAAATACGACGATGAAGGCCAAGCTATATTGAACTGCACAAAAGATTGCAGCTTACATTTATCGCAGAAACTTAGTCAGTTATATCCTGTAACGAGGTGAGTTAATAGAAAATGCAGAACTATGTTATTTGAAAATGATTATTGAAAACTTTTTTTGATTATTTCTTTTAGAGCGGTTTCAATAATGAGTTCAAAACTAGCTCCTGGCGTAATAATGGCGTCAGGTGTAATTGGAAAATCATTGAAGGGCCATCCGGGAGTGTTTTTATCTCGAGATGCTGGTTTAACGTGGTCGCAAATATTAAAAACATACCATTTCTTTAATTTTGGTGATCATGGTGGCATACTAGTGGCTGTTAAATATTATAAATCGAAAGGAGAAACCAGAGAAATTTTGTATACGACCGATGAAGGAGAAAATTGGGAACGTTATTCATTCCATGAGGAAGATTTGAAGATATATGGTCTTATGACGGAGCCAAATTCAAATACAACTATATTCACTCTATTTGGGTCGCAGACAGAAGAACATCAATGGCTAATATTAAAAATTGATTTACAGAATGCATTTGAACGTAATTGTAGTAAGAAAACCGATTATAAATTCTGGGCACCAAGTTCGCAAGACGGTACTAGTTTAATGCCATGTCAATTAGGTAAACAGCAAAAATTCCAAAGACGTGCACCACGCAGCAATTGCTATAATGGAAAAGATTTTGAACCACAAATTATAACAGATATATGCCTTTGTAATGCTTGGGATTTCGAATGTGATTTTGGTTTTACTAGATTAAATTCAAACTCGCCGTGTACTTTTAATAAGTCAATTCAACATATTTATGATCCCTACAAGATTCCAAATTATTGCCGTCCAGGTGGCTATTATAATAGAACTCGAGGTTATAGAAAAATTGAGGGAGATGTCTGTTATGGTGGCTATGAAACTCGTTATTTACCACAATCGATACCATGCCCTATGAAACAAACACCAAGTTTTTTACTAGTTGCGCAAAGGGATCGGATTTCACGTATTGATATAAATACACAAACTCGTGAAGAAATACCAGTACAAGATTTAAAAAATGTTATTGCAATTGATTATGATATCAAAAATAATTGCGTATTTTTCGCTGATATCATGTCTGATAAAATTGGTCGCCAGTGTTTGGATGGTAATCATACAACAGAAATATTAGTTGATTCAGATTTATCTTCGGTTGAAGGCATGTCCTATGATTGGGTTTCTGAATTGTTATTCTTCGTTGATGGTACAAGATCCAAAATTGAAGCTGTAAAAACATCTAGGGATGGGTTAGCTAGATTAAGAACAACTATTATCGATTATGAAAAGCTAGTTAAGCCAAGAGGTAAATTTTTTCAAATAAATGTGCACGATATATTCATAAGTGCACTTCAAATTTAAAACTAAAATAATATTTATAAAAAATCCACTTTATGTTTCTTATAGGAATTGTAGTTCACCCATTAGAAGGTCTTCTTTTTTGGACAGAATGGAGTACACAGAAGCCATCTCTTTCACGATCAAATTTGGATGGTACTGATATAATAGTCCTATTTTCAAAACCAGATGTTGTATGGCCTAATGGTGTCACTATTGATTATTTTTCTCAAAGAATATATTGGGTTGACGCAAGCAGAGATTATATAGGAAGTTGTGATTTAAATGGAAAAAGTTTTGCTAAAATTTTGGAACATGATTCGCGTGTTGCTCATCCGTTTGCTGTAGCTATTTATAAAGATTTAATGTATTGGGATGATTGGAAAATGAATTCAATTTATTCAGCTGATAAAGATCATGGAATAATGATTAAGAATATAGCTCATCAAATGAGTAATTTAATGGATCTAAAAGTTTATGCTCATTCATTACAAGAAGGAACAAACGGTTGCGAAAAAAGCAATTGTTCACATATATGTGTAGGGGCTCCTAAAGGTGGTTATTCATGTTTATGCCCAGTTGGTATGACAAAGTCGGGAAATGAATGCCTGTGTCCTGATGGTTTACGTCCTTTTAATAATAATACATGCGCACAACAAGGCAATACCTGTATAGCGGGATTTTTTAAATGCGACACAGTTAATATATGTATACCTAATTCACACCGTTGCGATGGTCATGATGATTGTGGGGATAACTCTGACGAAAAAGGCTGTGCAACTGAAAATCCTCCATGCCCACATTATATGTTCCGGTGCAAAATTGATAATAAATGTATTCCTGAATATTTTGTTTGTGACTCTGATATAGATTGTGACGATGGAAGTGATGAATTGGGATGTAAATTTAATGATTGCAAAGATACTGAATTCAAATGTAATAACGGACGTTGTATAAGTGATATGTGGGTTTGTGATGGAGAGGATGATTGCATAGATAAAAGTGATGAACAAAATTGTCGATCTTCAAACAAAACAGCAGTAACTTGTAAGCCGGATGAATTTAGATGTGCAAGTAATAATCAGTGTGTACCAATCATGTGGAAATGTGATAATGACTATGATTGTCCAGTAAGTAGCAATTATAATCCAATAATCTGTGCTGTCTACTTTATGTAATGAATTTTTTAGGATGGTAGCGATGAGACGAATTGTAATCGAAGAGAGTGTGATATGTGGGAATTTGATTGTGGAAATGGGAAATGCATATACCGTACGTGGAGATGTGATGGTGACAGAGATTGCGAAAATAATGCTGATGAAATAAATTGTACAAAATCAGCTCAACCTGTTCCGGGTACAACTTTCTTTCCATCAAATGCCTGCCATGATTGGATGTTTAAATGTAGTAATGATAAATGCATACCAATGTGGTGGAAATGTGATTCTGCAAATGACTGTGGAGATAATTCGGATGAAATTGGTTGTTCAACCACTCAAAATTCAACCAATCGCATTGGCACTAAAACCACAATTAGTCCAAAATATTCAGGTCATCAAAAGTGCGCTATCAATTATTTCCAATGTAATAGCGGGGATTGTATATTAAAAAAATATGTTTGTGATGGAGCTTCGGATTGTTTGGATGGTGAAGATGAAAGTAATTGTTCAAATATAACAGTAGAAGCTTGTAATGGGCCGAACCAATTCAGATGTAGGTCAGACAGAACATGCTTGCCAATGTCAATGTATTGCGATCATATACAACACTGCGTTGACAATTCTGATGAGGAAGATTGTGGTGAGCATCCGTCTAGATTACCAGATCATGAAGTAAGCTGTGGTCCAGCATACTTCAGATGTGATCACACGTGTATTCCCTTGATGAAACGATGTGATTCTAAGCTGGATTGTTATGATGGCAGTGACGAGGAGACGTGTCAAAATGTTAAAAGAGTGTATCAAGTAACGAATTTTATTATTGATCCCAAATTTGTTGAGCAAACAAGTTTTGTTTTGTCATGGTGGGTAATTCTATCACCAGAAACAAGCGTAACATTGGAGTACTTGCCATCCATATCTTTAGTTGACAAAAATAATTGGAAGAATGCCACTTGGATTACTGACAAGAAATATAAATTTAGAAACCTTACGCCATACACAAACTATAACTGCACCGTTTATGTTAGAGTTAAAGGGGAACATCCAGTGCCACCATTTTTTTTTGCAAATATTACTACGAGTGAAGGAATTCCAGATCATCCGTTAAATGTTAATGTAACACAGATTGGTGGATCTAGAGTTCAAGTTACATGGGATCCTCCTAAAAAAACATATGGACCATTAATTGCTTATACAGTCTATTATAGACCTCAAAGTATGTCTATAGGTTCAGCACAAAGTGTTAAAGTAAACTCTCAAGATCATTCCCTCATATTAGATTCTTTTTTCAAATCAAATATTACGTATGAATTTTGGGTAATAAATAGGCTTTATTAACTTTTACATTATGAACTTACAGCTGCCTTTTTACAGGTTCGTGCTAAGAACTCTAAAGAGGAATCTCTGCCATCAAAAATGGTTCAACTTACAATTAATGACATATCAAATATTGACTCTCTGCAAGGATTAACAGTAAGTATAAGTGATTCAGGATATGATGTAACTTTAAAATGGGTGCCAGTAAAAGGTGCAGATGGGTACTTGATTGATGCTATATTACCGCAACCCTATCCGCGCATTCCAAGCAAAAAAGTTAATGAAACTGAAATTAAATTTGATAACTTGGCACCTGGTATTTCATATATTTTTAAAGTAGCGGCATACGTTAAGCAGTTTGTGGGACGAGCCCAGCCTATAAAAGTGTCTTTAAAATCGCCTGCACTACCGGAAGTTGCTAATATTCATTTGGAAAATGATTCTAGTTATACAAGACTAAAGTGGATAGAACCTAAAACTACTCTAAAAAATATTACATACGGTGTTTATTATGGTACAACCGAAGAAGAAACTTTTGAAGGTAAATACTTTTAATTTTCTGTTTACAGCACTTTAATTCCAACAAAAGTTTTCAAAATTAAAATGAATTTTTTTCATTAAAAGGTCCAAAAATTAAAACGCAATTAACTGAAGCGAATATTACTGATTTAATGCCATGCCAATCATATATGATTAGCGTTGGTATAGTTGGACCTTTAGGTCCAGGTCCCTTATCCCATGATCCAATAGCTTTTGAAACAACATTGAACGATAGAAAACCACCAAGAAATTTAATTGCGAATGTCGATAGAAAAACACGTAAAATGACAATTGAGTGGGATCACAATTGCGCATTGTCTAAGGTTTTTCCAGCTTATTTAATAACAGTCATTGAGACTGTTAAAAATCAAACATCTGCCATTGAAATAAAACGTGCGGCAAATAAAACAATTCATTATTCGCATTACTTTAATGATGTCCCTTATGGTGCTGTATATAATATAAGTATTAGATCAAAAGTTGATAACTCTGAACCAGCAAATATTGTAGTTGACGCGCCAAAATTAGAAGGGCCAAGACAATTGAAAGTTTGGCCAGAAGGAAATGGTACTTATGTTGTTTATTGGAAAGAATTCGAAAAATCTCACTATGATTTCAAGTAAGTGATATTTTTTGTAATATTCAAAATTTTAAATAATTCTAAATGAGCAATTTTTTTTGTAGGTTTACATACGAGTTAGTAATATATGATGGACATTATATTCATGAAGTTGAGAATAACGCAACTGAAATTAAACGTATTTCATCAAATACACCTCCGATACTAGTTAATCCAGACGATTTAGGTGGTTTACATGCACTAGGAAGAATATTTACTTTTGGAATACGTTTAAAATCAGATGCTGGTTATACATCAGATATATCTGAAATTGAACATATTGAAGTACCTGTAGAAGCGTGGCATTTACCAGTTGTATCAGATACCACCTACGCATGGTTAATCATAATACCAATAATATTAATAATTGCACTAGGTGGTGTCATAGTGTATTTAGTTCAAAGACATAGACGTTTGCAAAATTCATTTTCTCGATTTGCGAACTCCCATTATGATACAAAAACGGGTGCGACAAGAATTGGAACGGATGTTTTTGACGACGATCATCATGAACATCATCAAGAAGTACCAAGATTTGCCGACGATGATCCGTTAGTTATATAAATTGATTCAAAATCAGAAATCAGTTTTAAATTAAAACAATTAAAAAATTTAGGGGAATTTCGTTTTCGTTTACAAAAAAAAAATAAAAAAATATTAAAATAGGAGATAACATAAAATCAAAGAAATAATAAAGGGGGAGAGAGATTTAGGGGACTTTTATATGTTGAAGTAACAGAAAGAAAAAAAACGATATAAAAGACGTGAAACAAAAAGCTTAAAACACCATTGTGAATGTTAAAACCTTGAAAGCAAACTAAATATAAAATTTCAAATAATTTTCATATAATAAAATATTAGAAAAAAATAATTATTATTCATGCATATACGAGTATGCTAATAAAGAAATGGAAGTACATATTTTTTATTTGACTATTTGAAAAGATCTTTTATCATAAATTTCATCCCGATTTTGTTTTTTTCGTTATATTTTGATACGTATTTCTTTTTGCGTGCAAATTTTTAATATGACATCAGTGTAAATAATTTAAATTAAAATATATTACTGCGTTAGATTAATTAAAATTAGAATTGAATTTTTATGTTGTTTCGTTGTAATTAATATTTATTTAGATATTGATGATCACAATGATCGAATAATTCTCAAACAGAAAAGGAAGCAATTTAAAATAATATTCAAGAAATTCAATCGAGCATATAAAAAACCAATAATGTTTATGTAAAAATTAATTACTATTAAACTCGTGACTTGTGTATTTTTAAAGAAAATTGACAAGTATATATAAATATATATACGTATATATATTAATAATACAAAATAATTTGTAGTTTTAGTGAGTGATTTGAATTTTAGAATTAACGTTAAAAAATTTATTAATAAGAAAATATAAAAAATAATGGTAAGACATAAAAAAAATATTTTAAAAAGTTAAAGTAGTTAATATTAACATTGAGAAGAACTTGTATTAAGCATATTTTCAAATAGCTTCTTGACTAGTCATAAATTATGACATTTTATATTAAATAAAGGAGGAAAAGGAAATTTAGATCATTTAATACATGCAAAAATAAAAATAAAATGTTCAGAATTTAATAATAATTTATAACTGGTCTAGGTGTTAAGTTATAGGAAAGTTAAAGTGTATAAATTTAGTTAACATGAGTCCTGTATTATATAATATATATTTTTTAATTATAGAAAATAATGTGAGCTAGCTAACCAAGAAGATATAATGAATAAATCATTAACAAATTAAAATAATTTCATCAAAATTATCCTTTCCTTAATGCAAAAAATTTTTTATTTTTTATTTTTACTTTTTATTAATTTATTTTAATTTTTTTTTCTAAGCTTGTAAGTCAGAAAATTGAAATAATTCTAGTATATTGCATTCATACTTTCCAATTACAACTTAATTAAGTTAAATGAAGGATTTATTAGAAATCCAGTGTATGAAATTTGTTGAATCCCATCTTTTACAATTTTAAAATATGTTTGATTAACTTCTAAAATATTAACTTCTGGTTTTCAATTCTGGTTTTAATATACGGGTATTTGAAATTTTTTAAAAGGGAAATGAACGAAGTAACCCATTTTTTGTTGACCTTTTGTATATTTTCGATGAAACACCGAAACAAAATATTTTACGAAAAAATTCTATTCTAATCTTCTTCACTTTACTCAAAATTTTCAAAATATCATGATATGTAATAAAACATTTAAATTGTGTAATGAAAGATTTTGAATGGTCGAATAATAAATTTTACTATAAGAAAAATTTTCAATATCGAAGTTTTTAATAAAATTAGTATTCCTTACAAACATATGTACAGATTTGTATTGAAGATTTTTGTTTACATGTTCTATTTTTTTATATCTTATATCGTAAATAATTCTTAATTTAATGAGGTGAAGATATCAATATTGAATTTTTAAAATAAAATATTTTGTAAATATTCACAAATCTTTCTAATTTACACATAATTTTCCTTAAATAATTTTATTTTATATTTTGTTGTGTATATAGGAAAATACTTTTTTTTCTATTTTATTTTGTAGATTCAGTTAGCGTAAACAATGAGAACTTTTTAAAATTAAAAAAAAAATAAATAAAATTAGGAACTAATTTTGTAACGACGACATTGTGTAGTATAGTATAAAATTTTATTTTGAAAAACGATAAACAAACTAAAGACAAAAAGAGAACTATAACATCAAAGGTATTCATGTGTTTTGGCGTATTGCTAATAAGAATAACTATGTAATACAATGTTCTTTATTAAAAAGAAAAGTAATAATTTTTATTTTTTATTAATATTTAAATCTTGGTTGTGATGTTTATATAATATGCACTATTACTAATGGATTTGGTTGCGTTCTATTGCTAATTTAGATTATTATGTTATGAAGTTTCATATTTTATTAATTCTTTACGTAGTACATGAGTACCTTTTATAATATCTAATGAAAAAATTAGTTAAACCTTAAAAAACGAATAAGTAAAGAAGAAAATGGAAACTATGAGATAGAGAAAGGTTATAATAGTTATATTTTAAGCAAATAAATTTCAGTATAAATTTTGTATAAATATCTTAAAATAGAAAACAAAATAATTTACTTCATATTATCTATCATGTTTTTCAATATTAATGGTTTAAAAAACAATTTTTCCAGGTTATAGATTTTTGGCGTAATAAGATGTATTACGCCAAATTAAAGAAAATATTACAATATAAAAACAATCATAATATTACTTCTTGCAAAAAAAAAATATAAGACATAAAGAAAACAAATATTTTGAAATAATATCGATGTATTAATAATATTGATATTAAAGTTATGAAGCTGTTTGTTTAGTTTTTTAAATTTTATAAAGACATATACTTGTATATATAAAAATATTTGTATATACATACTATACATAAATATATGTGCAAATGTAATGTAACAATTTTTTTAAGTTTTTCATCTATTTTATTTTTATTAAATTATAAGCGGGTGTGCATATTAAAAAAAAACTGATGATTATCAAAATATATTCAAATTGAGGTAAATTAATTATAATTGTATCATTTTTCCGTTAGAATTCCTTTTTCTGTAAATAAACATAAACTACATTTAAAGATTATTTTAGCTGTTTAATTCTTTTCTTTAAAATTTGTCTGTGAGTTGTGAAACAATAGAATATTTATTGTTACCGAAGTTCCTACAATTGTCAGATATAAAGAAGCGCCATGATTAATTGATTGTTTTTCCTTGTATATTATAAATAAGAGTATTTGAAACAATTCTCTCATTTAATATCAGATCAATTAAATTCATTAAGTTTTTAATTTCTGTTAAATATAGTAATAAAAGGCGATGTGGTATCAAGTTTTTGTAATATATGAATTATTGACTTCAAAGTTAAAATAATACCACAGAGTCATAACATTAAAACAACATTGCATTATGTTAAAATCTATTATTACTGCAATTTTATAGTTAGGAAAAATTGTGTTTTTCAATTTAATATGCATCACTTGAATTAGATAAGAAATTTAATAAAAAAATTAATAACAAAAATTTTTTTTTATTTAACTTTGTTTTTTTTTTTTGATATAATTATTAGTACATACCATTATTTTGTACCAAAGGACTTGTTTTTATAATTTTAAAATTTCTTCGTTTTGTCATGATAATAACGTAATTAATGGATAATATTGTATAATTAGTGAATAATATAAAACAAGGATAAAGATAGTTTGAAAATAAATAGTGTATAAATTTTAATATTTATGTATTTACTGTATTAATATTAATTATTTCCAATTTATAATCTGTTATCTGTTTAATTTGGTTCAGTCTTGTAACCATATTTTGAAATTTTAAAAATTATGCTCTAACTCTCTGGATTGATCATACTAAGTAACATAATTCAGTTTTAAAATTTATCAATTTTAAATATCCTTTAAAACTATCTGTCAAAAGTTTTTATTTTCAAAATATTTTATGTTTTTTATTTGACTAAAAACTATCGATCGATTTTTATTTCTAAATTTGAATCTGCAAAATATTTTTATTTCTAAATTTAAAAAATTTCTTACTGATTCTTTGAGAGTATGAGATTAATTACAGATTAAATCAAATTAAAAAATAAGACGATATTATTTTAAAAACAATAATTTTATTTTTTGAATAAACAGTATTGAAAATTTAAATAATCCGTCTATTATTTTTTTCAGAACCATTTTGAATTTATTGAAATAACTGATATTCACAAACCAAATCTTGAAAGCTTTTTTTTCAGTAAGAAAAATTTAGATTCTTGGGTTCAATTCTGCTACTGTAAAAAGATTTGTTTGGAGAAAGAATTACATAACATTCATAAATTGGTTTACAAATACGAGAAAAAGGTTGATAATGTTAAGCCGGAATGTTAATTTGTTTTGGGTTAGTAAGCGTAAAAAATTGTAAAGATAAAATATCGAAAAATTTCAATCAAAGATATACCCGTAATTTTTTGATTGCTTAGCTGTAAACAAACTGATAAAATATATTATTAAAAATGGTAGTTAAAGAATACACATACATATGTGTAGAAAAATGTCGAAAACAAATACGTGTAAATATAACAAATCTACAATAGTAGATTATTAAATTTATACTTTAATATAATACATTTATATAATAGGTACACAAGTTATTTATATGATACATATGTATTATTTTTTGTCCTTTTTATTTTATCGAAATAATAAAACAAAAGTAAAGAAAATTTACTAAGAAATATCTTTGATTGTTTGGTAAATATTTGAAGCGGAAATACATAATAAACATATGCAAGGGAAGAGGATATTTTAATACCGCATAATTATGTTGTGGTCTTTTGTCTGTTGTATTCTATTCAATAAAATATTTTAGGAGGTGTCATAAAAAACAACTCATGGGAAATACCCAAATAGCTATGAATGGAAAAATATTTTTATAATAGGTATAGATTTTGTACTAGATACAAAAATAATGTAAGGTTTCATAAACTTGCACAGGTAATAAAACAGGCAGAAGTGAATATGTTTGTTTTTATTAATTACTTGTTATTGGAACTATTGTTTAATTTTTTAAATATTATATAAAATTGGGACTTTTTGTTGTAAATTTTGTTTAGTATAATAAGATATGATATAATTTAGATTTATTTTTAATTTATGAAAATTTAAACAAAATGTTCAAGTACTTATTGTATTATGAGAATAAAGGTTTCTAATTCTAACTACTAATATGAAGGGATATGTACTAGAAATCGAATTTCCTTTGAATATTAAAGTATCTAAGCCATTTCGTTCAGAACATATTTAAAAATTGATAGTTATAATTGGATGAAATTGTTTTTTAGAGATTTTGATTTAATTCTCTAG